CTCTCAGTCCTGCACGACCTTCCCTGCCCCAGGCCCCCCGAGGCCGGCCATACCTTTCATGTACAGGAAACTGTGGAAGTAAGGCAGGGTGACACAGCTGTACACCGAGTCCCGCCGGTACGACAGCTCGTCGTCCGTGTCGAACCTCGAGTCAAAGTCCTCTTCACTGTCTTCAAACTGGACAAGGACAGAGAGATTCGGTGGTGAGCACAAAGGGCCAGCAGCTTGAAGGTCAAGCAGGCATGTCCTCATTTACAACATTAAAATGACCAAAACAGAAGCAAAGCGCCAGCCAGACACTGCAGCCGGGAGCCTTGGAAGGAGCTCAGCATTACAACACATATGTCCATGTGTTAAGGTCAAGGGCCTGCTGAGTTGATTCACAAAACTCAACACAGACACTGATCCAAAGACCTTCTATTGTAAAACCAAAGGAGTTTTGCTTAAGAGCCCCGTTGTAATCAACCCATGCAAGAACGACTTCCTTTTAAAACGACCATACTGAAGCCATTTGAGTCTTACAAAAGCCAAGCTGCTGATGTCCAGTCACTTCCAGCCCGCACCGACCCCTGGCGCTTCAGAACAGAACTGTGCTCCGTGGGTTTCGGGGGTGGGGAGGGGCTGAGCTTTTGGGGGATAAGGACTTTACTTCTGAGGCACCCTGGCTTATCTTTCCAATAGGAGCTGAGGGTGTTCACTGTTGGTCCCGCTCAGAGACTTCCTGAGGAAGTCAGGGAGCATTTCACACAGGACCAAAAGGGAAGAAAGAAAGACAAAGTCAGCTAAATAAGCTTCTGAGACTGGAGGGCGCAGGTGTAAGCTGCAAAGATTCCTCCCTCACCACCACACAGGGCAGAAGTCCTGCGGTGTGAGGCACAAAGCCCTCCAAGACTGAAACGTCTTGGCAAAGCCAGGCCAGCGAAGGGTGTGCCCGGTGTGCCGTGTTTTCTAACCAGCTGAAGGGAGGGAGAGAGGTGGAAGGAGAGAGGGAAGGAGAGGGAGAGGGAGGGCGAGAGAGAAAGAGAGAGGGGGGAGATTAAGAGAGAGGGAGCCAGGGAGAGAGAGAGGAGAAAGAGTGAGAGAAGGGGAGAGAGAGGGAGAAAGGGAAGGAGGGGGAGAAGGAGGGGGGAT